TCTCCTTGTGACTAGATTCCCTTCAGATGTAGAGGGTGCTCTTGCCTTCCCTGGACACCTGTGCCAACTGCCTTGCATCCCTACCTTGCTTCCTCATTTGGCCACAGACAAGAGGGCGCACCCTTGCCTCTGCACATTCCACTTGTCTGCCTGTCACACATCCACAGAGCCACTCTGAAGGTTAAATGCGATCATATGAGATGACCATAGCCATCATCTTACCAGCCACTTACTTAACATGTCACTGCTGAATGGGCAGGTGGCTGGGGGTGTGGAAGAAGCAGAAGGTTGGGGAAAATGGGCAGTCACTGATTGCTCTGCACATCTGGCCTGTGTTGGGTGACCTCCCCTCTCCTAAAACAGGCAAGAATGTGTAAGAGGCTCTAAATGGAACAAGTGTCTGGTTCCCTACCCTGTCCTCTCCACAGTCTGAGGACTTCTTTGTAAATCCCTCCCAGCTTCTGCTTTGAATGGTCTGTTCAGAGGGACTATTGGGCTGCATCTCCCTTGAGTCTCTACTTTCTCTTCTGCGTCCTTCTCTCTGCCCTAAACCTAAAGTGTTTCTTTTCATGGCCTTGTGTGGGTACCACCTGCTTTGTTAATGATCCATGACCACTCCTCCATCCCTGCCACATCTGAGCCGATCAGCCAGAGCCTCTCAGCCAGTCTCTGATTGCATATGAATCATCCTCTCGTTGGCTCCATGCCCCTGGGTTATCACCTGGCCCTGACCCAAGGGGCCTCCGCTTGTGGACTTCAGCTCATCTCCATGCTGGGCACCCCTCCAGCTTGGCTGCTCCTTTCCTGATGGTAATGCCTGGTCATCTGTCTCAGCCCAGTTACATGTCACACGTGTACATGTTTAAACACACACATACACATTCACACACACACCCTGGTGTGGCTTTTCCCTCTGATCCCCCACCCACTGCTGCAAATGGTGGGACGCTGTTGTGTCATTTCGTGAATCTTTGATGAAGGACATGCTTCCACTTGCAGCCTTCTGCAGAGTGCCCTGTACAGGGCCGCCTCTCATGCCTGCTTAGTGGTGATGCTTTCTGGGATGTTCAGAAAATGAGTGTTCAGGAAGTCAGAGCTCGCTTTTTATTCATTCCTTTTTCTAACTGAGATATCCAGGCATATGCAAATCTTGAAATAGTAGACTTTGAGTCCCTGCTGTATTCCAGGGACTTTGACACATATTACCTTGTGTAAAGCATCCTAACAGCTGTGTGAGATGGCATTGTTCCTGTCTGAAAAGGGGGCTGAGGACATTCCATTTTGATGAAAAACTAATGACCTCAAGCCTCCTTAGCTATTAAGTGACAAGGTTCCATGCTGCCTCCAGTCCTGGTTTTTACACCGATGCCATTCCATCTGCCACAGCACCAATGTCAGGACAGGGTCGGGGCGGGGGGGGGGCACTGGTAGCCTGTAGTACTCACCAGTTTGCTCAGACTGCTTTTCTTGGAAGGACAGTTTTTTGGACCGTGCCCCCTTTGGTGACTCAGACCCTAAACTTGGGGTGGTGCCAGCCTTCTGTCTATCTGTCCCACCAGCTGGACACAGAGTGATGGGCCTTCTGTCTGTCTGTCCCACCAGCCAGACACAGGATGATGGGCCTTTTCCTCCCCTTTACCTATGAACTCCTTTGATCTTAGCTCAGATGTTCACAAGCCTCCACAACAGGCTGGGCCACTATGTCACACATTCTCAGCACTCCAGACCCTCCCTCCATGCAGCATCACAACTGCCTTTACACTCACGAGTGCTTGTTTGATTTTTGCCCATCTGAAGGCAGGTCTGTGTGTGACCTCTTTGTCAGTGAGCAAGTCTATAAGTTCGCCCTTTCTGGGGCTGTGCCTTCCTTCCTGAAGATCTATTTCATCTGGTACTGTTTCTCTTCAGCCTACCGAACTTTTTTTAATGTTCTTTGTGTAATTGTGTTGGCCATGGATTCTTGTAGTTATTTATTTATCTGAAAAGTCTTTCTTCTTAAGATACTTTTGCTGGGTGTAGAATTCTGATTGAAAGGTGTTTTATTTAAAAATATATTTTTATTGATTTCAGAGAGGAAGGTAGAGGAAGAGAGAGATAGAAACATCAATGATGAGAGAGAATTATTGATCGGCTTCTCCTGCACACACACACACACACACACACACCCCGCCCAACTGGGGATTCGAGCCTGCAACCCAGGAATGTGCCCTTGACTAGAATCAAACCCTGGACCCTTCAGTCCACAGGCTGATGCTCTATCCACTGAGCCAAACCAGTTAGGGCTCAAAGGTTTTTTCTTTCATCACTTTAAAGATGTTCCACTGTCTCTGGCTTGTACGGTTTCTGGTGAGAGGTCACATCTGTGTCCTGGTTCCTCTGGAAGAGATGTTCTCTTCTTTCTCTGGCTGCTTTTAAGGTTTGGTTCTTGTCTTTGGTTTTCAGTCTGGCTGTGTGTTTATGGCTTGGCCCCTTCTCCCTCCCACTCCCTCCCCCCCGAAAAAAAATATAGAATCATTCAAAGACTTCACAGTGAGCACCCAAACATCCACCACCTAGATTCTCCCATTATCTGGTTACTTGACTTGGTTTCCACATGTCCTGAGGACGGTACTAAGTACCAGGAGGGCAGAGGAAATGTGCAGTATCTGAGCTGATCATCCAGTGGACCCTGGGACCTAGGGCTCAAAGCTGACGAAGGCAGGCCCGCAGGTAACTAGAGGCCAGCAGGAGAAATGTGCACAGTGGTTACCTGAGGAAGGAGCCTCTAAACTAGCAGTTGAGGACGAGTGGAGGTTCAGCATAGCCCAGGGGTCTGAGAGGTTTTTGGGAGGAGTGATCACCTGTGCAGAGGCAGATAGTAGTCCCAGGAGAAAGTCTGGGTGTGTGGAGAGGACATGCAGGTGACGCCTTGTTCTGACTTTGCGGGAAGGGCTGCAGCTAACATAGGGGTTTTATTTGGAAGACCTTAAATATTCTGTTTGGATTCTATAAGAAAGTAATTATATCTTTACCAGTTTTGCTCCTAACTGCTCCAAGGTCATGTCTATTTCTTTTTCTGTTTAAAGGTATGGATGACAAGAATGCCACGAAGTTGAATGAGCTCATTCAGGTTGGGTAAGTACAAATTATATTATGAGACACCACCTGCTCACGTTGGGCGTTAGCGTTGTTCTCTGAAATACAGAACGAGAAATACTCATCTGTCCCTCCCACTCAGCCCACCAGAGCCTCTGTGCTTTCACCCGGACCACTCCGTTCCTTGTCTTCGGTCATCTCCCCCACCACCCAAGATCTCTCTCTGCTGGTCAAAGCTCAGCTATCCTGTAGGTCGAACTCTCTCCTGGAACAGTCTTCACTGGCCTCTGCTGTATCCAGAGCATCGCCCTCCCGTACCTCTGGTTCTGGTCTCCCCCAGCCCGGGGTTGGACGGCCTGTGAGCCCCTGCTTCTCAGGTGTGAGCTCCTGCGAGGTGGGGCTCGCCGTATGTGCTTCTGTTCAGGCTCCAGCCCAGCAGGGATGCTCCTACAGATGCTCATGTTGCATTCTCAAGGCTTTATTTCTATGAACTGCTGCCCTTTTGCAGCCAGTCGTGATAGTAACGAGGATGTAGATATCACCACCATGTGAAAGAGCCGACCCACTCCAACCGCCAGGAGTGTAGGCAGTCTTAACTGCTGGTGGTGTTGGGCAAACGGAGCCTCCTGGATGTGTGTGGAGTATGATTAGGCAAGTAGGAAGAGGCCACCTGCCATAGCCTTGTGGATCTTTTGTCACCTCCCCATCCCATTTACCTGTTGTAGCGTCAGCATCCCCTATTCCTTCCCACCCTTACACCTGCCCTGCATTTGTCAGGTGGAAGCTGTATTTGCTCCAACTTTAAACATTTTTCTCCTGGGCACACCTTCAGGGGAGGAGATGGTAAGTGTGTGCCTAACTCTATATGGAACTGCCAGAACTTTCCAGGGAGAGTTCCAGGAGCTCCTTTTGAACCATCCTAGTGGGTGTGAAGTGGTATTTCATTGTGTGTGTGTGTGTTTTTGTTGATTGCAGAGAGGAAGGGGAGGGAGGGAGATAGAAACATCAATGATGGGAGAGAATCATTGATTGGCTACCTCCTGCACGCCATACTGGGGATGGAGCCTGTAACCTGGGCATGTACCCTGACAGGGAATCTAGCCGTGACCTCCTAGTTCATATGTCAGTACTCAACCACTGAGCGACACTGGCTGGGCTCATTGTGGTTTTGATTAGCATTTCCCCAGTGACTAATGATGTTGAGCATCTTTCCTGTGCTTGTTTACCATTTTTATTTCTTCTTTGGTGAGGTGTTTGTTCAAATCTTGTACCTGTTTTCTTATGTTTGAGTTTAGAGAGCTCTTTATATATTCTAGACCAGCAGTCCGTGAGGTTCCAAAGGTTGACAATCGCTGTTCTAGGCACTAGTCTTTTATCAGATAGGTGATTGGTAAATATTTTCTTCCACTCTGTGACTTGTCTCATCATCTCTTTACTAGTGTCTTTCAAAGGGCAGAGTATTTAATTTTGATTAGATCCAATTTGCCATCCTTTGCTTTTGTGGACTAACCTGTTGTAGCTAAGAACCCTTTGCCTACTAAGTTCACAAAGATGTTCGCCTGTTTCCTTCTAAAAGATTTATAGTTTGACGTTTAAATCCGTGCCCTACTTTGGATTTTTTTTTTATATGATGTAAAGTTTATACCTAGGTTTATATTTTTGGCCTATGGGTGTCCAGTTGTCCCAGCCTTTTCTGTAGAAAGGACTGTCATCTAAGGTCAATTGACCGTACTGTGTCTTTTTCAAGACCTTTAATTCTGTTCTATTGATTTGTGTCCATTCTTTCACCAATAGACATAAGATTTTTAGTACAAAGCAGAAAGCTTGTAAAGGTGAAACAGATGCGGGGAAATTAGTACAGTGCCCTGATTTAAGACCAAAAAGCATTGCGTATTTAACCAACTTCCTGTCTGTGCTTCTCCTGCAGACTTTTTTCAATTTACTGTGGATCTCCTTTTGTTATAAAATTACAGAATTAGATAAAAGAGTAAATGAATTGAGAAAAGCTCCGAAATTAAATCGTATTACATTGGTCACAGACCCAGCAGCATGCTTATTGGATTTATCAAATAACTTTGCAGAGAAGAAAATAAACCTCTCAGAATGGAGAGCCAGACTCCCATGCACTTACAGGAATTATTCTGTTGCCTGTTTTGTCAAAATAACACTCAAGTGCAGGGGTTCAGATAGAATCCTCTGTTTTGTTACTTTCCATCAGAGGTCAGGCTGGCCTGGCCTGTCAGTAGTCTCGCCTGTCTTCCCACCATGGGGCTGGTGTGTGAGGTGGGCAAGTACAGATCATGTCGCAGGACCGGGGCCAGGCCTTGAGAGGCCTTTTCTGTGTTAGCTTGAACATGGCTTTACCTTGTACAGGCTCCAAACTCAGGCTGCCAAAGAACTTCCATTTGAGAGAAAAGGAAAGGAATTGTATTCTCAGGATGGTTATTTAGTCACAAAAAGAGGACTGCTCAATTTCACTTTTTTTTAAAAAAAAGGAAGTCACAAAATAGCAGTTTAACGGAATATGTGATCATCACAAACACAGGTGCCACATGACACAGCTCCACCTGCTCTTTAAGTCTTGCCTGCTACTGTTTTGTTTTGTTTGGGGGCAGATGCAACAAAAAGTGATGATGGGCAGGAAAGTCCACTTGTCCCCAGAGCCCTTTATTGGAGGAAGTTGTTTAAGATTCGACTTGGTGCTCAATTACTGCTGTTTTAAAGCTCTCCTCCCAATTCCCTCTTCAGTAGCACCTTGTGGCCCTGGATCGCCCATGAGTTCAGGTGGCTAAAACTCAAGCTTTGGTCTCAGTGGAATGTGGTGGTGGTTCATGTGGACCCTTATCCTCTCTGAATTGCTCCTCCTGACAGAATTGGGGGGGCGGGGGGGCACGGAGGGCTTGCTTCCTGGGGCCACAGCTGGGAGTTAGCCAATTAGAAAAGTTGGTTAAAATAGAGTCATAAAACTTCATGACACCCATTACTGAGCACAACATGGGCAAACCTCCCTGTTGTGTGGATGCTGGAGAACAGAAACATAAACCTTTCCTGCCCATGGTTTCTCTTCCCGTCTGCAAATCCACTTGCTAAGGTGACTTGGTTTTAAATAGAAATAAAAAGAATAGGTTATATGTTTGCCTCTAGAAAACAGACAAACAAAAAACAGTTATAAAACAATATACATGGACCTTGAAACTTTTGTAAAACAGAAACCTACATTTGCTTACCAGACACAGCTGGCTGGCCAAGGCCTTTTCTTTGAAGGGGCCCATCCTCAGAGTTCTGGGTGGTTTTTATCTTAGAGGCGCTAGTCAACATGCATCACTTGCGATGAACCGTTTTCAAGCGGAACAAGCATAGAAACGCACGGCAGTGGGGCTGCAGGGTGCTTCCAGTCACCCTCAGTCTTTCACAGTTGTCTTGCCCGCACTCACTTGACTGCCAATCTATCCTTATTGAGTAATTCCAAAGCATTCTAAATGTGTTTATTAGAAGGAACTATTTTTGTGGCTTTTGTACTCGTTTGTAGTATTTCTTTAATTCTAACACTATCTGAAGTCCTGCCACCTCAGTCCTCACAGTGTCACTGGCGTCTGTGACAGGCAGACGTGAAGCAGGCCCACTGACTTGACCCCCGTGCCTGCTGGCTGTGAGTGCCCTACACCCCAGGTCCCAGTGTATGGTTCCCAGAGGTCCTGGGGGCTGGGGGACATTGCTGACGTGAAGATGTGGTCTCTGAGTTGGGTTGAGGTCACATAGAGATGGGTTGAAACCTACTCTCAAGGGGTCCTGTGGAGGACGAGGAGAGGAGGGTGCATCATCTGGTGTCTGAGGGGTGCTCACTGTCATGAGCTTTCCAGGGGGTCGGACAGCAGCTGATGCCGCACCCGTCGCCAGGCGGGAGGCAGGGCACGTTTCCTGTGAATGACAGGCATCCCCTTTGCAGTGTGAGGTGTGAGTGGGAAAGTATTGGGCATCCAGAGCCATAGGATGAGCAGGACTCTGAAGGCCACGATGGGCGCCCAGCCAGGGCCCTCCCTGCGCAGGACAGGGAGCTACTGTTCATTGAGAGGTCTCAGCATTTCTTTAAAAATGTTCCCAGGGCCACCACAGTGCGTTACAAAGGAAGAAACCTGCGAATCAAAGCGCCCATGTGCCGAGCCCTGAAGAAGCTCTGTGACCCAGACGGTATGTGGAAGGTGGGCTGGGTGGGGCTGGGGGCGTGTTTTCTCTGCTCCATTTAGCAATCGATAGGCCGAGCTCTGTGTCCGAGCATTCCTAAACCCCTGAGCAATTCTTGGGTCCAAAGCCGTGTGTCCACTCACAGTATTCAGATGGAGTGTGAGTGGTGGCAGGAGGGAGTCCCGTGGCCTCATGTGGCCCAGTCATTGCCCCAGCTTTGCGGGTACCCTAATGGCCATGTTGGCACTTCTCTGGGCACAGGTTCTCATGGGCCTCTTTGCCAGCTCTGCTTCGCCTCCCAGGCCATTTGTCCACGGCTCCTCCTGCCGAGTTTTCTGGCCAACCACGTTGCCTTCTGCACGGCAGTCTATTGGCCAGGCTCTCACAGCCCTTCTTGTCGCAGGCCTGAGTGATGAAGAGGACCAGAAGCCAGTGCGTCTGCCCCTGAGAGTCCCCGTAGAGCTACAGCCAAGGAACAATCACGCCTGGGCCCGAGTACAGAGCCTCTCCCAGAACCCCAGGCTCAGGTAACTGCCTTTGGAGTTTGGTAGGGAGCCAGCTGGGAGGGATGTGAACAGAGGGTGGTATATGGGTTCCCTCGTAGACCCCTGAGTGATGCTCCAAAATTACATGGGGGTAGGGTGAGGGTAGTGTACTGTTGGGGGCCTGGAGGCATGAGTCTCGCAGGCCAGGAGCGGATATAGAAAGATGTCGTGATTAGCAAGTTGATGACTGTAGCATCTCCCCCCATTCCTTTTCCATTGCCTCTTACCATTCCCTAAAGTTTTGTATCTGATTTGTGGATGACTCACCACGGTGAGTACAGACCATTTTCCAGTTACACATTTTTATTTTTATAGATTGAGGTAAAAGTCACATAACATAGAATTAACCATTAGCCATTTCTAGGTATCCCATTCAGGACACTTGAGTACTTTCACAGTATTGTACAGCTACCATTTCTATTTAGTTTAGGAATATTTTTGTCACTCCAAAAGGAAGCCTGGTATCCACTAAATAGTTGCTTCTCATCCCCCGCCCCTGGTCCTTGGCCCCCAGCAATCACAGATGTACCTTCTGCTTCTATAGATTGGCTGTTCTGGACGTTAGGCATAAGTGGAATCTCCTATTATAGTCCTTTCTTTCTGACCTCTCCCTGAGCATCATGTTTTCAGGTGCTGAGCATCCACATGGTGGTGTGTCTGTGCTTCATTCCTCCCATGTGTATTTTTATTTCTTGGGGTTATTAAGGTGGCCAGGCCTCCCCTTCCTGACCCGAACGGTGCTTATTAGAATAGTTGGGTGGGCTGTGCCCAGGTCCATGTTCTGGGTGAGATCTTGCACTGTGAAGGGTAGATAGGTCTCCGCTTTATCTTCTTGCAGTTTCATATGAGTCTCTAGTTACTCAATTTAAAGGGTTCATTTTTAAGAAAAGGAGTCATCGTGGCTCTGGCCCCGCCATGGTACCTTTCCTAGATGCCCTTACTCTTTATGGCATTGACTTGCTGCCAGCAGCCTGGGGGCCCTTCAGAAGGTTCTATCCCCATGGTAACAGCTTTCTTCTTCCCATTTTTGTTTCCTATAGGATGATCGTGGAGCTCCATCGGAAGGTCTCCAGCCTCATTGAATTTTTGAAGCAGAAGTGGGAGCTCCATGAAGTGCGAATTGTATCTTTTTCCTACTAAAGCAACCCCCCTGTACCACCACCACCATCATATCTACAGCATCTGCTGCCTCAGAATGGTGTCTGTCCTGCCTGTCACTCTCAGGATTGCACTGGGGCCCATGTGGCGTAGCAGCTATGCTGTGAGATGGTCTACAGCCAGAACTAAAATCCATAACCCCCTTTCCTCTGGGTTTTGGGTGTGTGGTCCACTTTCACCTTGCAGTGTTAGAACTCTGTCACAGCAGCCCTCCATGTGGTGAGCAACTACCATCTGGCCTGTGGGATATGGGCTAAGCATCCCTGGGAGCAGGTTGATCAAATGACTAAGGATAGTGTCAGACTTCCTCTTAGCCAGCTCCCAGCCCTGCCCAGTCCACAGCAAGAACAGTGTGTGCTGGGAGTAGGTTCCTAAAGAAGGAAATACCTGAGTCATGCCTTTCCCAAGGCCCTGTGATGCCCAGGGGCGGGTGCTGCTACATATGGTTCCTTGACAGTGCGCTAAGCGAAAGACACTCGCGGAGCGGCAGCTGCAGGATTCGTTTGTGGAGCCGTCACAGGAGAAAGTAATGCTGCACCTGTTCCCTGGGGAGAACTGTACGCTGACCCCACTTCCAGGAGTGGCCCGTGTGGTGCACTCTAAGGCCTTCTGCACGGTGCACTGGCAGGAGGGTGGCCGGTGCAAACAGAGCTCCAAAGATGCCCACACACTGCCTCCAGCTCAGATCCTGGGCATCCAGAGCGGGCAGGGTACAGCCAGGGGCCAAGTGAAGTGCCCAAGGAGCAGCACCGAAGGCAAGGGCGGGGGGCGGCCTCCTCCCTCCATGGACACTTCTCAGAGCTCTGGAGAGAGTTCCCCTGAAAGTGCCCTTGGGGAGGGGGCTGCCCCAAGCCTCAGCAGCCCGAACGCTCCCGACAGGCTTCCCCCTGGGCTCCAGGATGCTGGGGTACAGACCCCTACGGCAGCTCCTGTAGAGGTTGGGGATGGCCCAGCCCAAGAGCCCAGGGCCACGACTTGTGCCTGTGGCCAGCTCCCAGAGCTGGAGGACGATCTCTCTCTCCTAGACCCCTTCCCCCGCTACATGAAGTCCTGCCAGGACCTCATCCTCCCTGAGCCGTGCCACTGTGCAGACTCTCGGCTCTCGGCCTGTGTCTCCCCAGAGACTCAAGCCCCCAGCAGCGCAGAGGTGGCCAACCTTGCCCAGACCAGGGCACCGTCTCCTGCCCGTGGCCTATCTGGCCTGGAGCCTCAGCCCAGCCCAGGGCTCCAGCCAGATGTTTGCACTAAAGACTCAGCAGATGCTCCTGCGGAGGAGCCCCAGGAGAAGGCGAGCCCCTCGGACCCCCCGCCACCTCAGGGACAGCCTTCTGCCAAGCCTCCAAAAGATGTCCCTGCCAGCCGGCTGGCCCAGCAGCTCCGCGAAGAGGGCTGGAACCTGCAGACCTCCGAGAGCCTGACACTGGCCGAAGTCTACCTCATGATGGGAAAGCCAAGCAAGCTGCAGCTGGAGTATGACTGGCTGGCCGAGCTGGGCCCCGAGGGCCAGGCCCCTGGTGGCTCCCCACCCGCCGCCTCTCACAAGCAGCGCCTCCTCAGCTGCCTCCTGAAGCTCATCTCCACTGAGGTCAACCCCAGACTGGTGAGTGTGTGGCCGCACGCTCTGTTGGCACCCAGAGGGCAATCCGGCCCAGCCCCACAGCAGGTGTCAGGAGTCCCCCTGGCTCCTCAGGGAAGGGCAGGAGGCAGGGACCTCAGTGACCAGAGAGGCAGAGGTTCTCACAGACCATGTTTCATTTTATTGAGCGAGGTCATGCTGAGCACTGGCTACGGCTTTGGCTTCTTGCCAGACAAGGGCCCTGTCCTCTCCTAGGCTCACACAGGGCTCCACAGAGGACAGCAACCAGCAGGCCATGCCTGTTGGGCCTTGCTAGGCTCCGGGATTCTGCTGAGCCCTGAGCGTGCCAGCCAAGGGGCCAGTGTACAGAGGGGAGGTGGCAGGCTTGGCCGGGACTGAGCCAGATTGGACTTGCTCTAGGTGTCGGGAGGGTTGCAGGTTTCTGCAGAGGAATGAAGAGGTTGAGTTTGCACTTTCGAATGGCTGTCCTGGGAGGACAGTGGTGGCACAGCCTCAGAGAAAGGAGTGGAGCTGGAGGGAAAAAATGGAATGCTGGGGCTGAGAGATGCACGGTGTGGGGCTGCACCCAGGAAACCTCTGCAGGCCGACCTCCGTGGGTAGCTGTCCAGGAGACGGCTAGTTGAAGTAGTCTGTGGCACCTCAGGAGGGTCCAAGGTGAGTGGGAGTGACCATGGTGACCCAGGGAGGGGGTGGTCATGCCAGATAGGCCATGGCATGTGACCCTTACCAGGGGAGGCTGATTAGCAGAGCTGCAAATGGGGCAGAGACTTGCTGATGGGAAAGTCTTGTAGGATCTCCTGGACACGAGCAGATCCTAATGCAGGCTATTCCCGAAATAGCAGTGTATGCGTGGTGTTTAGCAGCCTGGAGCCTCATAGGTTCCAGGAGGGACAGCTGAGGGAGCTGAATGCTGTGGCTTTGAGGGACAGGCCGGGACTGCAGGCTCACTGTGCACCCCTCGGTACTGATTCACAGTCAGTACCAAGTGTAAGCGGTGCCTGAGAGCACACACCACACCTTCCACCTTCCCTGAACAGACGCTCAGTCTGTGAATTTGCTGTTCTGCCTTGGTTTCTGGTTGACTCTCCCACCAGGTTCCTCTCCGTTTTCTCAGTTGTGCCCAGGCAGTGCTTGCACACAGAGGCTCTCAGTTTGGATGGTGAAGTGAATCACTGCCCTGTGAGAGAGGTGGGTGGGAGCTGGCTGGATGCTGCAGAGGCTGGCAAGGCCTGAGGGTGAGAGATGGCCTTTGGATTTTGCAGCGCGGAGGTGCCCCTCTGTCAGGCATGGGCAATACTAGGGTGACTGAGCAGAGGTTATGAGTTTCAAAACGTTTTCAAGTTTGTCTTTTGGAGGGGGTCAGGAAAAGGGACTGGGGGACACATGAGTGTGTCCAGTACCTTATGGAAGGAGCCCAGGCTAGACTGGCTCCTGAGAAGGCTGGAGGAAACACGGCTGAGGTAGTGGCCTTGGCCTTGACTGAAGAGGAGAGTGGAGCGGGTTGGAAATACTATTGCAGAGAACACAAAGCAGAGTGCTCAGAGCCATGGTTCCCAAAGTGGGTCCCCTGTCAACAGTCTCAGCTTCACCTGGGAACTTGCTAGAGATGCAGTTCTTGGGGCCCTATCACCATGGTTTTTTAAAAATATACATTTTTATTGATTGCAGAGAGGAAGGGAGAGGGACAGAGATGCATAAACATCAGTGTTGAGAGAGAATCATTGATTGGCTGCCTCCTGCACGTCCCCCACTCGGGATTGAGCCTGCAAGCCAAGCAGGCATGTGCCCCAACCAGGAATGGAACTGTGACCTCCTGGTTCATAGGTGGACACTCAACCTTGAGTCATACCAGCGGGCGATAGACCATGTTTTGACACCCTCTACCAGGTGGTACTGATGCTTCTCGGGTGTGAGAGCTGCTGCCCAGAGGCCCCGGCTGAGAATGGGAACCTTGCGATAAAGATGGATAGCCTGGCCTTTTGGTCTCCCTCCTGCTGAGGTTTGGGTGAATCGCTGACAAGAGGCTGGCTGGGCACGTGGTTGGACAATTGAATAGTGAGTCAGATTGAATTAGCTAAGCTGGAAGAGGTGGGGGGGGGGTAAGGGGGAGGAGTCCTATGGAAAGGAAGAGGAGGGTCAGGGCGGGGGCTGAAGGGCCATGGGAGGTACAGAGGAGGCATGGGGCCTCTGGCAAGCAGAGCAGGTGAGGCTGTGCTGAGGGTGTGGATAATGGGTTCTGTAATTTACTGGAAGGTTCCCCCGCCAGTGGGCCTGGGGTGTGGGTACCTCGGAGAATGTGGCGGACGGGGTTGGTAAAGTCACCAGGGTAAGAACAGCTGGATGGAAGGGTGTCTCTGTTGAGGACTCAAGAGTGGAGGCAGTGCCCTCAGGCAGCAATCTATGAAACCTTTGGGGTTTGGGATTTGATTCAGCAGGGAGCTCTTCAGCTGTGATTGTGTTTCATTCTAGAAGTGAAATCTGTACGTATGTCTTTTCTACTCGCAGTAGGAAGAGGCCATGGCAGTCGTCTTAGGCTTGTTTTTTAAAGGCTAGTGGCGGTCCCTGCAATTCAGCATCTTTTGGCAGCTAGAGCCCTTCCTGGGGAGGCTGGGGTGCTCAGTGCTTTCAGCCATATGTCCCCCTCCCTCCCTTCCTCTAGTCACTTCCTGATGGTTTGCCAGTTCGTGCCACCTGCCTATGGGCAGTGAGGGCAGAGGTTCCAGGAGGGAGAGCCCTGGTTCCCTCAGTGCCCACCTGACTAGTGATTTTGAATGCTGGCACTGCTGAGTGACGCAGGGGTGCTGACCTCTGCCATCATGGAATGTGGTCGCTTAGCCTCTGCTGTCCATCTGATTTCAGGGAGTTCTGGTGCCTCCTGCCCCGGGCACTCATTCCAGAACCGTTGTTCATGGGCTGAGTGTGGCTGTTGTTTCTGCCCACTTCTGTCCTAGGCTCCAGAATCCAACGCCAGCTCCATGGCCTCAGCGAGACCCGCCCAGGAGGAACAGTCGACGACCCCCCCAGGGAAGGTGGTGAACATCAGCTCCCGGAGCCCCCGCTGCCCTCGGAACCAGTCTGCCCTTCGCAACAAGACCTTCTCTCCCAGCTCTGCGCCTTGTCCCTCCTCAGGTGAGGCTCAGCAGGCACGTTGACCAGGGGCCCCCCATTCTGGGTGCCCCGCTGGGCATGGGGGCTGTGCCAGGTCTGAGGGCACAGGGATTCCTGAGGCCTGGCCCCAGTCAGCCACAGTCCAGCGGGGGAGGGGAGGAAAACGGAAATCACCGTTTCCTCAGAGGGAGGGTGAATGTGGGCCTGTCACCAAGGGCTTTGGGATCCTAGGGTGCGTGAGCCAGTGGAGAACATGGGTAGCCCTTGCCAGTCCATTCACTTGGGGGGATCGGGCTTTGTGAGGGCCGTGGAAACCTCCATAACATGCTGAGTTGGAGGTTTCGAGGCTGAGAAGGGTTGGTTCTTACTGAATCTTCTAGAGACTGTTTTCCTTTTTAATATATTTTTTTAAAATATATTTTATTGATTTTTTACAGAGAGGAAGGGAGAGAGCTAGAGAGTTAGAAACATCGATGAGAGAGAAACATCGATTAGCTGCCTCCTGCACACCTCCCACTGGGGATGTGCCCGCAACCCAGGTACATGCCCTTGACCGGAATCGAACCTGGGACCTTTCAGTCCGCAGGCCAACGCTCTATCCACTGAGCCAAACCGGTTTCGGCCTTTTTAATATTTTTTATTGTTGACAGTATTACAGAGACATTCCCCCCGACCCCCACCCAGCCCCTACCCACCCCCACAGGTCTTCACCACCCTATTGTCCATGAGACTGTTTTTCTTTACAACTAAAATATTCGAGTAAAGAAACCTAAGTTCAGGGAAGTCCCAGCAATACAACACAAACCTTGGAAAGAGACGGTCTGACCTGCCAGTCCTCTGTGGTTCTTTGCCCCAGTTGTATATCTGGGAGACATTTTAATTCAGGGTCCTTATTTGGGTTACTGGGTACATAAAACCAGGATCAACCTGACCTGCTTCCCTGAGGCATCAGTTTTCCTTGCTTAGTTTTTTTGTTTTATTTTGTTTTGTTTTTTCTTTGTTTTTTTTAATCTCTGTACCTCTTTTTTTTTTTAATATATTTTTTTGATTTTTTACAGAGAGGAAGGGAGAGGGATAGAGAGTTAGAAACATCGATGAGAGAGAAACATCAATCAGCTGCCTCCTGCACATCTCCTACTGGGGATGTGCCCGCAACCCAGGTACATGCCCTTGACCAGAATCGAACCCGGGACCTTTCAGTCCGCAGGCCAACGCTCTATCCACTGAGCCAAACTGGTTTTGGCTTGTTTTGTTTTTTTGAAGTATATTTTTATTGATTTCAGAGAGGAAGGGAGAGCGAAAGAGAAAGAGAAACATCAGTGAATGAGAGAAAAATCATTGATGGGCTGTCTCCTGCACGCCCCCTACTGGAGATCGAGCCCACAACCCAGGCATGTGCCCTGGCCAGGCATCACACTGTGACCTCCTGGTTCCTAGGTCGACACTCAACCACTGATCCACACCGGCCTGGCCTTGCTTAGTATTTTTATAGTAAAACATTAATAATTGCCATGGCTAGAATCCTGAATTTTAAAGGTAGAAAGAGAAACGTGCATGTGTTGTGCGGCCCTGGTGTGAGGCTATGCTGACTGCGCTTGAGCCTTCCTTCCTCTCTTCCAGCAAAGTCTTGTAACTCTTCCTGAGACTGACCTGGTGAGATGGGGATGCAGGGATAGTGGGGCTGAAGCCTGGCGTGTTCCTTTGTGTCCTGTGGCCAAGAAGGCCTCCACCTCAGGCATGAGGAGTTTCAGGACCCTCTGCTGTCCTGGTCCTTGCAATGGTGACCAGTGTGCATCATACAAGAGGTGAGGCGGTCCTGCCTCTGATCTTACTCTGATCTAGATGGGTGCCCCAAAACCTGCAATAACTTTTTGGCTGAAGAGACCTAGGGTCCTGGTGTTTTAACAGTGCTCTAGGGCTGCGATTTTCAACCTTTTACATCTGATGGCATACATCAACTAATTACTAAAACCCCGCGGCACACCAAAAAATACACTTTTTGCCCATCTGACCAAAAAAAAAAAAAGGATAATTTTGACTCATTCACATGGATGGCTATTGTGTTGGCTGTTGTCATTGTTTTTATTTGACATTTTAAGGGAATAGAGCAGTGGTTCTCAACCTTCTTAATGCCCGCGACCCTTTAATACAGTTCCTCATGTTGTGGTGACCCCCAACCATAAAATTATTTTTGTTGCTACTTCATAACTGTAATGTTGCTACTGTGATGAATCGTAATGTAAATATCTGATACGCAGGATGTATTTTCATTGTTCGCGACCCATAGGTTGAGAACTGCTGGAATAGAGGTTAGTGCCCCTGACTAAATGCTCAGATGTTGCATGGTTTAAAAAGACTTGTGGCAACAAAACTTGAAAATCCCTGCTCTAGGGTTATTTTCTGGTCAGTGAATGTTATTAGCATTATGTCTTGTTGCAAATAGCCCGCCTGTTAAGTGCTCGAAGATTCCAGTCCTTGAGAGCACTTCATAGGGGCCTGTAAGAAAGCTGGGCTGCTGCTGTGTCAGGCTCTCCGCCTCCTGCAGCTCTTAGTTCTGTTTTCTCCACCCTGATCCCGTTTCCGTGCTGTGACTCACGAGGAGGGCAGCAGCATACTGTGAACTGGTTGTTCTCGCAGATACAGTCCCTGTACTCGATAGTAGGGCTAGCTGGTAGATTGTATATTCTTTTTGCGTTCTGTTTTTAAAATTTTCGATTCTGTGTACTCTTTAATATCCATCCTCTTTCTTAATTAAGGATCCTTCTGGACTAATCCACCTGCAGTGCTAGAATCCATACCAGTGCTTAGAAGACCTGGTCTCTGGATACCATGAGTGTTAGTGTAACTTCACAGATTTGCAAATAAAGAAAAAGGGAAGGAGCCTGGCCAGTGTGGCTCAGTGGTTGAGCCTCAACCTACAAACCAGGAGGTCACAATTCAATTCCCAGTCAGGGCACATGCCTGGGTTGCAGGCTCAATCCCCGGTAGGGGGAGTGCAGGAGGCACCGATCAATGATTCTTTCTCATCGTTGATGTTTCTCTCTCCCTCTCCTTTCGTCTCTGGAATCAATAAAAATATCTTTAAAAAAAAGAAAAAGAAGAAGGGAAGGAGATCCATTCTACCATGAATTAAGGGTGCTTTGCAGCAGCATCTATGGTAATAGCTAGCAGAGTCCCAAAATAGTGGTTCTTAAATAACTACTTTCTGTCCATTTCTGGGTCGGTTTTCTGTATAATTACAGATTTAGACCAGGCATCAGCAAACTATGGCCCACGGCCTAGTTGTTGTAAATAAAGTTTTATTGGCACATGGCTGTGCTCACTGGTGCATACACATGTTGCCTGTAGCTGCTTTTGTACTACAGCTGCAGAATTGAGATTAGCAGAGTCTTCAGGCCCACAAAGCAATATTTATTATCTTTAAAGAGAGAGTTTGCTGACCTCTGTTCTGCACTAGATATTCTGCTGGGTTCCAGCTCCGAAAAATGAATGCCTAGCTGCCTTTCCCACCAAGGCTCAAACAAAATGGTAAAGTTTCTTTATCCTGTCAGGAAGAGCTATGATCTGCTCAGGTAGGAAACTAGTATTTCAGGGAGAAAGATGGAAAAGCAGGTTTTATGGGACTAAGAAAAAGGAAACTCCTTTCCAGGAAATAGAACAGGTTGTCAGGAATTCTTCTTGATTTTCTTTCCAGTAGAACTCCATTCACACTGGAGATGTTGCTGGGTGAGGGTATTCTATTCACTACCCCTCTCCTTTTCTAGGTTTGAGAAACCCTCCAAGACCCCTCTTGGTGGCTGGTTCCTCTAGTACAGGAAGCAGTGACTCAGATGGTGGCCTTTTTGCTGTCCCAACAACTTTGCCACCCAACAGCCGACACGGGAAGCTCTTCTCTCCTAATAAAGAGACAGAATTGACTTTCCTTCAGCATCTGAACTCCATCAGCGTAAGTGCAGGGAATGCTCCCCTCTGCTTGCCTGCAGACCCATGTTTGCTGTGAAAACACTCAGGGATCTGGCACTGTTTTCCTCATAGATGCAGTCGGATTTCTTCTTGCCAAAGCCCCGGAAGTTGCAGAACCGGCACCTACGGAAGCCGCTGGTGGTCCAGGTCAGGAACGCTGGTCAGGTTTGCATAGCCGGGCTCCCCCTGGCCAAGCTGCCCGACACACTGGTTTTCTCCCGTGTCTTGGGTGTTGAACTGAAATGGAGAATCCCTGCCACTTTCTCCCTTCTTATGACTAGGGTAAATAAAGTAATAACAGTGACCCTTACTGTATCTGAAAATGAAGATAATCTTACCCTGGCCTCTTTGCTCAGTGTTTAGTGTTGGCCCTCAATCTGAAGGGTCATGGGTTCAATTCCAGTCAAGGGTACAGACCTCGTTCGCAGGGTGAATCCCCAGCTCTGGTCAGGGTGCATGTAGGAGGCAACCAATAGATGTGTCTCCTCACATTTATGTTTCTCTCTGTCTCACCCTCACCCTTCCAGTCTCTCTTAAAAAACACACACACACACACACAAAAAAACAACTCAATGTAAAAATATCCTCGGGTGGAGGATTAACTAAACAAAACAAAAATGATAATCTTTATATAACGAAAACCACTTGCAAAAAAGACAGAAAGTTATGGGACTCGAGACCTAAGAATGTTTTGGATTGGGATATATTTGAGGATGCTCAGAACATCTCTTTGTAAATATGTAGTCAGTGGAAGCAGTGGGTAAGGTGTATGGATAGGCCATAATGATAAACCCTGGTGGACCTGTAAGTAACATGCAGACCAGAGAGGGAGATACAGCAATGAGACACACGTGAGAAAAAGGGCAGTTTATTTGGAAGTAAAAGGATAAAAGAGGTGAAGTGGAAATTCTGGTATGACTTTGGGCATAGAAAGTTATTAATATGCATTGTTTTGGGATTAATGCATAGGTCTCTTTTGTTAGACCCTTAGAAATCTTTTGAGATTAATGTATATAGAAGTGAGAGATTGCATGATGGTCCTAGGAAGGAAGATGTATTCTAAAGCCCAAGTGGGTTTTGTGTGTGTGTGTGTGTGTCTGTGTAGACTACAAGTAGACTCTTGAACAGTGCAGGGGTAGGGGTGCTAACCTCCTGCACAGTCAAAAATCTGTGTATAACTTTTTTTTTTTAATTAAATCTTTATTGTTCGGT